GTTCGCAGACGAGGAGTGGACACTGCCGCAATTTAGCAACGGGAAGCTTAGAATTTTTTAAAAAAACCTTTAAATCTTAATTAAAACCTAATATTTATTATAGTTAAGTCTAGTTAATATTAACCCTTTATTCTTAGGCTAGTAGGGTTAATCTTTAAAGCTAATATAGGAACTAAATAAGCTTATAGCTTTTAATAATCTAATATATATTAATAGTTAAAAGAAGTATTACTTTTTATATAATTTAAATAAATATAGATATAAGTATATACTTAAACCCCTTATAACTATAATATATTAATTTAATAGTATTTACCCTATAATATATTTATAATAAAAAATATTAACCTACTATATCTATTTAATATATTTATTTAAATATAAAAGGCTTTATTTTACTAATAACTTTAATTCTTAGCTTAATATATAACCTTAGTTATAAGATATTTAACTTTTAAATTATATATTTACTATATTAGGTTAAATACCTTTAAGAATAACTACTATTATATTTATATAGTGTATCCTTATTTAAAATACTATATATAATAGTAAATATCTTTACTTATATATATATTTATTATATAGGGATATATAGATAGATAGATAGATATATAGATAGGTGAATATATATATAGATATATATATCTTATACTTTAAGATTTCTTTTTGTTGCCCTCGTGAAAAGACCCCTTTACCCTAGTAGAACCTAGGTAGTAGTATCCTTACACAACTAGTTGCCCTCTACAAAAGCTCTATATAGGCTACCTTATATCTAGACTATTAAAGTTCCTTTAGGAAGGGTTAATTTTATTATATATTACGTCAAAGGCAAGGAAGGCACTTAAAGGGGAATATAATATAAGTTGCAAGTTGCCATATCATTACTTGCAAACTATCTGTAACCAATTAAACTACCTGCATGTCTGAATCTTGTACTCGACAACAAAGAGCTATTTCTTAGCCGTGCCACGCTTTGAAGTACGAGTACTCTTGCCACCACGAGAACCCTTGCCACCTGCTGCCCCCTTCCTTGTGCGTTTTGGGGAGGGTTCATCCTCAGCCTCACCCCCATCCTCAGCCTCAGCCTCATCCTCATTCTCCTCCTTGTCCGCACGACGACGCTTTGGTGCCTTTGCCTTCTGCTTCTCATCATATTTCTTCTCAGCGGCAGCCAAAAACGTCTTTGTCAGATCCCGGGGAATTCTGTGCTGCTTGCCCCCATCCATCTCCATCAAGTCCTCATTTTCTTCCTGGACGCTAGCCAAGGCCTTGTCTGGCATTGGCAGATTGACCTTGCCTTTACCTCGAAGAGTCGAAACAGGGGAAGACTTCAGGCTGCCGGCTCGCTGGGACCTTTTCTTGGGAGTACCAGCAGAGGAAGCCATGAGGGGCCGGTAGTTGGAGAAAAGGGCGGGTGTGGGCTTGATGCGATATCCGGCGGCATTTGATGAGTTCACAGCCACAGTCTTACCCAACGTGATGTTCAAGATGCGTAAGAACTTCTCATTGGGGTCCAGATCAGTGTGCACCTTGCCAGAGGCCAGCAGCCCCTGAAACCCTGGCACTCGGTCATCCACCAGAGTATCCTCGAATCCATGAAAGTGCTTGAGCTCTGAGAAGGACACACTGGGAACTGAAGTGAGGTCTTCACCATCGGCATGCACCGTGCATGTCAGGGCGGCGATCGTGAAGAGGGCGTTCTTCAGCATGGTGGAGAACTGCTGGATGTTGTACGTTTTCGGCATTATGTAGGTGAAGACTGTGCAGTCATATGGCTGGCCAAAACGTGCAATGCGGCCAACGGTTTGGATCCAAATCGAGTACGAAGGGGCGGGGGAGGGAGCATGGAGGTTGTGACAAGTTGCCTGCAAGTTCAGACCACTGTTCATGTGGTAAGACAACACCAGGACTTCCAAATCTCGGTCCTTCACACCGTTGAAGCCAGCGTCAGACCAGCGGGAAAGAGGTTTCTGGAACGACGAAATCATCTCCTCCTTCACATCGCCCTTCATGGTAGACAGATACGCCCGACTCTTGTATCCCATAACGTTCAACAGCACGCTGTAGAACATTTGCTCGAAAGGATTGAGGCAGAAGATGATCGCCTTTTCATTGGCATTGTCGACTTGGTCAGAAATGTTGGCAAATAGGGCGCCCAAACGCGGAGACGATCGGACCAGGATTCGAACCAGCTGCTTGTCGGAAATTTCCTTGACTTCACGGTCACCGAAGATGTCCTTGTACACCTTCTTATGCAAAAGGCGCGTGTTTAGGGCGATATCCTCCATGAGCTTGCGAAGCCACGACGAGTAATCCTTGGCCATGTACAGTTCGCGGTACTGTGCAAGGTGCGGACTCTCCATCTTCTCGACTTTGGGGCCGTCATCTGGAAGAACGCCTGGTAGAGGTGCTTCGTCATCAGATCCATAAGTGTTGAGAATCTCTGGGTCGTCCTCTGCCGCTGACTCGGTTTCATCCTGGACGGTACCGGACTCCTCAAGATCTTGGTGGTGGCGAACTTTGGAGAGTATGGGGTTCTGCACCGAGTCACCCTGGATGTCGACCTTGACCGTGTGGGTGTCGCGGGCGAGCAGTAGGAGCGGACTGATAGCACCGAGACCCATGATCCTTGCGGCGGACTGGTTCTGGTATATCGCGTCCGAGGTGCTGTCCGACGTATACTCGCCCGTCCATTCACCAATGAGGCCGTTGTGCAAGTGCTGGTAGTAGTCGTCGTTCGTCAAGGTCAGGTTAACGCGATTCACTTTGCACATTGACTGGCCGATGGTGTGACGCGTTCCGAAGCTGTCTACGATGCAGGAGGAGGAGTAATCACGCCGAATCATGTAGCGCTGGAACAGTTTCGCGAGGATAGGACCGGCGGTGACAGCGTCAAGACAACGCTTGACGACAAACTTCTCGAATGCGGCGGCGGTAAAGCAACAGTCGTGGTCCTCAGGGCGCTTTGGGCGGTTCTGGGAGTTCATTTCGTAGGGATCCTCGAGGACAGCAGCGCAGGACTCATCGAACCGAGCTCCGTCACCATGGATGCGATGCCTGGTAACTGCGGCGTCCCACGGAGACTGGAGAAAAGCCAGAAGGCCGGTGAAGTCGCGATAATGCCAGGGTAGTGGGGTAGCTGTGAGCATGACATGCCATGGCGCGCGCAAACTGCGTATGGCGTACGAGGAACAAGACCGGATACCTGTTAAAGTGTTAATAATACAGCTAATGGGTGGGCAAAGGAGGGTTTTTCACGAAGGCAACAGCTGAGTACAAAGGGGGCTTTTCACGAGGGCAACTCCACGGGGTCTAGGGGGGGCCTTTTCACGAGGGCTACCCGTGCGCCGGCCATACAATCCCGACGGCCTTATACA